TATCAATACCTGACAGTTTACCTAGTAATAAAGTTCCTTTCTCACCGTCTCCCAATCTGAGCTTCCTGCAATAGGGTGTTGTGTTGCTCACTGCTGTGTCCTAAGCACTGACAACTTTCTGGACCACAGAGGATATTTGAAAATGTTTGTTTAAAAAATAGTGTTATGACTTAGGTATTACAAACTTGATTTGATGCTTAGGAAACTGAGGCTTGGAGAAGTTACCAAACCGCGATGGTTAATTCTGTGTGTCAACTTGGCTAGGCCATTGTACTCAGCCGTTGGTCAAGCACGGGCTGGATGCTGCTGTGGTGGTTTAAGATGTGACTGCCATTTGTAGCAGTAGATTCTGAGTGAAGCAGCTATCCCTCATAACTGAGTGGGCCTCATCCAATCAGGTGAAAGCCTTAAAAGCAAAGGCTGAGATTTCCCAAAAAGTAAAGAATTCTGCCTCAAGACCGCAGTGTGGAAGCTGCATCTTCCTGAGTGTCCAGCCTAGGGACTTCTGACTCAAGACTGAAACACCAACGCTGAGCCTGCGGCCTGCTCAACAGATTTTGGATTTGCCACCCCCTACGTTGTGTGAGCCAATTCCTTAAAATAAATGAGCCGGATAACTATGGTAGGTGGTAGATGTGATAGACACAGATGACAGATAGATGAGGTCAATGGACAAGATCTCTTGCTCTCATGTCGGGCTGGCCTGTCATTCTGTTTCTCTGGAGAGCCACAACCACTACACCATTCAAGCTCACACACCTGCTCAGCGTTGCGGGTGGGCTAATGGCTGACATTTATTATATGATTCAATCCTTACAACTATCATGCGTTATATGTCACAGGTTAGAAAACTAAGGCTAAAAGGATAAGAACCTTGGGCCAGCTTGCACAGCTGGAAAGAGCCAGGCTTTGCACACAAAAGGTGCCAACTTTGAGTTTGACTCTTCACTGGACTGTTTGCTCCCCTGAGAGGAGCAGTAGACTGGGCTTCCAGAAGGTGCCACTGGAGCAAGCCAGGCCCGGCACAAAACCGTGTGCAGAGTTAACAAGATCAGCTTTGGGTGTGGGGTTGTGAGAAACGTCATTGTCGTGCTTAGAGTAGCTCCCAGCGAGCCAATATCTCTGTATAGTCAGAAAAGACATGTAAGGGTCTTTGCCTACCTGCCCTCCAAATGGCGTGCCCGTGTGCTCTGTAAGCTTCGTTCCTTTGATGGCTCAAGAGACAGACTCAGACAGAGACAGTGAGTGAGACAGATTGCGAGAGAGACACACAGAATGAGACAGACAGATACAGACACACAGACGGAAACAGAGACAGACAGAAAGAGAGGATTCTTTTTGCTTTGCATATCTGATTACCAGTGAGACTGACAGTTAAGCACTTGGCTGTTAGCTTCTTTGTGACTCAGTCATTCCCAGTTACACCGTCTTCTCCCTTGGGCTATTTCTCTGTTCTCTGACTGATGTTTAAGACGTACTTACATATTAATGTTTTTAAACCTGTGTCTATTGCATATGTTGCAAATGCCTTTGTCTTCAATTTACTATTTAATGGCAGGGAAGATACACTATGGGACAAATCCAGTGCTCTTTCTGTTTGTGACTTCTGCCTTCACTGTCAGGTTCAAGAAGTTCTTCTGCAGCCAAAAAATTATGTAGATATTGACATACATGCTATTCTCATAGTTTTCATAGTTTCATTTTTGCCATTTGTGTATTTAAACCATGTGAGATTCATTATGATTCAGACATGAGGGAGGATCTAACGTTATTTCCCCTAATAGTCCTTGTGACAAGCACAGCTGGCAGCTCTGTTCCCACTGATGTGAGGTGCTCCTGGATTGTTAATAAAGTCACACATATTTCTGGTGATTCCAGACTTTCTTATTTTGTTTCACTATTTGTTGGTCCAAACAGAAGTACCATACTATTTTAATTATTGTAAATGTTATAATATATATTAAAATGTGTTAGGAAGTCACTCTCCTTATTTTTGTTTTTTAGAATTTCCAAACCATTTGTCTATGTTTATTTTTTCTGAATGAATTTCAGAACTTTTTGTCCAGTTCATCCTGCCACTTCACAATTTCAATGAACGACTGTTTGTCAGGTGGTTAGAATAACACCTGACGCATTCTTAACAGATGCTAACTTCTCTTATCTGTTACTTTCTCCTTTTACCTTCCTCGCTAATACCGCGCAGTCTGCTCCATGCTGGCTCCTTACAGGAGTGCTGGAGGGGTCGCCGAGTCGGCACGCGGAACACAGAGCAGCGGGCATGCCCTGGCACGCACACAGCCACCCTGGCTAAGCCATCTCCTCTACCCCATCTGTCACCTTTCGGGCCACTCCAACTTCAGTACTGTGGGAAATACTGAATAAACAAATCGAGTAGAAATGCTCATTTTGGACAATGGTCCATATTTTCTGCACATGAAAAAATCATTCTTTATGTACTTTTATGTGATTCAAGCCAGAGATCAAGTCTCTGTGAGACTATGTAGTGCTGGAGGGTGAGGGAAGGGGCTAGGCCTTTAGCTATTTTATTTTGTTTGAAGTTTCATTCCCAGGCTAAGACTAGTTTTTATGAGTTTCATCTGGAAGGGGGTTGTCCTGTCTCATTATAAATCTGTGAGTATGAACAATTGTAACAGAAAGGCTCCAAAACCTTTGCATACAGTCACAGCTGCAGATCTTTTCGCTACAAGGAAATCATATCACTAACCTGAATCTCTTGTGGCTCATCAAGATCAACAAATGACAGCACTGGACGAATGAACGTTTGAGTCAATGCAAGCTCCTGTAATCAGCGTCAGAGCACACACCTTCCGCACACTCACTGTAATTGCAGGGGGTTTACACTCCTATTCTTGTTATCACAGTCTTCAGCGGATGTTTCCTGCTCCACATTTCCATTCTGCTCATCCTCATTCATGACTTTTAAGGATTTGTTGGAATATAATCTAATGGGCACTAGCAGCCAGCCATACACACCTGCACTGCCATGAGATTTTAAGAAAGACTTTTTTGTCTCATTCATTTCAAATAAAAATGAACAGAAATTCACACACAGAGAAAAGTTTGCATAGGTGCTAAAATTTTGAAACTCTAATTTCTAATGGCAGCTTTCTCATGGATTACAGACTTAGTTAAATCAATCTGCTTGAATCTACTTTTCATTCTCTGAAAAGGGTCATAATAATAATCTCACAGAAGTTTTGACATTTTATAAATGCAAATAATTATGCAAACTTTTGTAATTTTCTGTAAGGATTGTATTAGTTATATAGGACTGCACAGCAAATTGCATTGAGGCTCAAACAGTCTCTCAGGTCAGAAATCAGGGATGGTTTGCCTGGGTTTTCTGACTCCAGGTCTCTCATGAGGCTGCAGTCGAGTTGTCTATGGGGCTGTGATCTCATCTGAAGGCTTGGCTGGGGCTGGAGGTTCTCCTTCTAAACTCATTCACGCGTTGTCATTAGGCATCAGCCCTTTGCTGACTGTTGACTGGAGACCTCAGTTCCTCACTACATAGGCCAACCCATAGGGCTGTTCACAAGATGTTAGCTGGCTTCCCCCAGAGCCAGTGATTGGAGAGAGGGGAGAGCCAGCACCGAGACAAAAGTCACGGTTTCTCTTATTGCCTGATCTCGTGGTGACACGCCATCACTGTATCATGTACCGATGATCACATAGACTTACCCTGGCACTATGTTGGAGGGGACTCTATGATGGCATGAAAACCAGGAGGTGGAGTTCGTTAGGTATCATCTTGCAAGCTGACTACTGAAGGTACCACAGAGATGCTCAGTTACATAGGGAGATGTAGCATACACTAGCTAGTGTTAAAGAAAAATCAGAATTAGTTTCCTTGTTTTGAAAATCAGACATAAGTTATAATTTACCTTGGAAACTTCTTCATCCTAAATTCTCTACAGTGTCTGGCCTGGAGAATTTGCCAGATACAACCAGAGCCATGCTTCCGACAGTACAGAAACATGGAAATACACCTGCATCCCTCACCAGTCTGCTGGGCAGGCCACTTCTGGTGTTGGTCACCCCAGTAGGTACGTGTGAGTGGGCACCTCCAGAACAGGGCATACGGCTTCCCAGAAACCCCAGGCAGAGTCTGAGTGCCACAGTTCTAACTATAGGAGCAAGCCTTCAGATCTGCCTGGCCGTGACTGCTTAGAGCACAGCTCTGTGTCAGCCTACACCACATCTTTGTTTTCTGTCCTGCTGCAAAGGTGATGCTAAGAGGGGTAAAGGGGAATGTCATTGGCCAAATAACACAGGAGGGTTAAAAGCAGTTTGGCCTTATACCCCAAAGGAAGGAAATGTCCAATGCCCACATGTGAAGGGGCCTCTATGTCTTCAAAACCATAGTGAAAATGTGCTCAGAGTGTATGTGATGGTCCACTCAGGAACCGTTCCATCACCACGTGCTCAGCAGATCTGATGCACCAGCTCCACACTGGCATATGAAGCTGAACTGGGTGTAGACAGGCCTACTCTCACCTCCATGTACAAAGAGACAGGTAAAAATTGCACACAAATAACTGTCACACAAGGCAGAATATGCTAAATACTGATGGAGAAGTCAAGATGAAACAATCTAGGAATTTCAGAGGAATAAGCACCTTTTCATTATTACAATTAATAGTAAATTATTAAATTAACTATTAATTGGGAAGATTAATTTCTTTTACACACATTTGTTTAGACTGGCTGCGTGGCCAGCAGTGTGCTGGAATACAAAGAGAAAAAACACAGCCGTGGGAAGGACCTAGACCTAGAAAAATCAACAGCTCATGAACATGTGATTGCAGCACCATGACATGCACAACATATCTACACGGATGGTGACGAGGTAATTGTGAGGAGTGAGTTCCCTCCAGGGGGTTAATCAAAGCTCTGGCAAGGAGTCACGCTCAAAGGGAGTGTGAAGGATGAAGGGGAAATAGGCAAGGAATAAAGAGGCTAAAATGGGGAGAACATTCCAGAAGGTACAGCATGTATAATAATATAAAACACCTCAGCATATTCTAAGAATTACAAGTCTTTGGAGTTGCTGGTTTTACAGAACACAAGAGCAAAAGGGAGGCAACGAAAGGCCCAGAATTGTGGATGGGCTTCCATGCATGGGCAGGAACATGGATTCTTTTCTCTTGGGTCCCTCCAGTAACCAGCCTCTTTGAGAGTCCGAGCGAAGCTATGGCCATGACGCCCCTTGCAACAGCGCGCAGGCGCCGCTGTGTCTGTGATTCAGAGCGTGCCTGGAGCCCTCCGCGGACTCCAGAATACGAGCACAGGGACCCCTGGCTTGGCCGCAGAGCCCCACTGCTGGATTCCTGCTGGCGTGAGACGCTCAGACGCTTCAGAGCCGCACTCCAGGCCGCAGAGTGGAGGATGGTCTACAGGAGAGAGCAGAGGCAGAAGCTAGTAATGAATCTCAAACATGGCCAAGGGCCTGGAGCCCAGCGTGTGTCTGCCAGTGTGACAGCCCCAGTTAATATCAGCTATTTAGGAAGAAGAGAAACTCCACATTAAACAGATACTCTTTTGTAACCTAAGTTGTTCCATTTAGGATTTTTTGGTTGCAGGGGCAGTGGAGACCAACTCTGATCAACTTAATCATGACAAAAGTGGGGATTTGCCTAAGAGCACCAGGTATCTCCCAGCGCCAACAGAGAGGCGCGCACTCAGCACCAGCGGGCGGGGCGCGGGCAGGAGCCGCAGCGCGGGCGGCTGAGTCCTGCTCAGGAGCGGCCTGCGCTGATCTCAGACACAGCCTCCCTCTGCTTCCACCCACAACTCTCTTTCTCCCAAGACCGCGTCTGGTTGGCGTATTTGGTCCTGCCCGCACCCCTGTGATGGCAGGCCCTCCATGCAAGGCCCCCCATGCAAAGCCCCCCACGCAAAGCCACGCGCACCGGTGCAGAGCAGGCCCAAGGCAAAGGGGGCAGCCCTGTTATCAGAAAATATAAAAAAGTAGGAAAGGATGCTGGCTAACCAAAAATAACAGATTTGTGCTAAACCGACAAAAGCATATATTTCTCAAGACACTTATATTTTCTTCTTCATCAGAACTTCACTCAGTCAACGAATATTTATTGAGTACCTACCATGTGCCAGGAACTGGGAGTTACAGCAGCAAAGCAAAATAAACAAAATCCCTCCTGTTGCCCGCCTCCCGCTCTAGTGGGAGTTTGACTCTGAGCCACTTTGGCATTGGCGGCTTTGCCTGGTTAGGTGACACTTGTCATAATCTACTCAGGTGGTGCACTTCTTTGCCACCATTAGGATTGACAGTGTAATTTTGAAAAATACCATATTGAAGAATATCAGAGTTTTGTTTATTTTGCATATTCAGTTCAGGTTAAAGTCTTGTTATTTCTTTATATGAATTACCTCTTGCTGGGCCCACCTGGAGTTTCCGAGCAGAGGGCATTCAACTCCCAGGGTGGCCCTGGAGGCAGCCTGAGGGACATGCCCCCACCTGTGCTCGCTGTTGGGCAGCACGTGCCCAGGCACTCTGCACACCTGAAATGATTTTCCCCTTCAATGTTGCATCACCATGTAACTTTTTTCAGTAAACATTAGAGACAAATTTCAGTTACCCTTTACCTATCAGTGTCACCACCACACAAATAACAGAGCTACTGCTCCTACAGTGACACCACAACTCACGTTCTGGCTGCTGGTGGTGTCTGGGTGTCAGAGTGTCAGACCGAGAAAACTGTGTGTCTCAGCATGGACAACACAGCACAGTCGGCAGACAGCAAGACGACAGTCGCTGAACAGGCCGACAGAAATGCTCAGGGTGGCTTTTGGCTCACTGATAAATGGCTATTTGAACAAAGTCCTAGACAGAGGCGTCTCACTGTGCTTCCCCCATTTGGCCAGAGTCGGGCAGCGGGGTTCCCAGGTTCCCGGCTCACACAGCACAGACATCGCGGAGGAGGGAAGCCACCGGTCCAGACACAGAAACAGGCTCAGGCGGGCGGGCAGCCCGTGTGCGCTGCCGGCGGCAGGAAAGGCGCGCACAACCCGCCTCTGTCCTCCTGCCGGGCCCCAGCCCCACCCCCACGCCGGACTCAGCACAGAGGGCAGCCTCTCCTTCTCCAGGCACAGAGACGCTGGTAGCGGGAACAGCCAAAACCGGAGCAGCAGTGGGTCTGGGCTGCACAGCAGGGGCCCTGGGGAAGCTGGAGAGCCCTCCCAGAGCTAAGGTGCACTGCGGCTACCGGCCGGCAGCCAGACCGGTGTGCAGGGACATTCCTCCCGCTCCCATGACGGCTCTGCGGGGCTGCAGGAGAGCCATTAAATATTTGTCCAGTTGCATAGTTTGGGCTTACGAAAATCTGGACTGAGAAATAAGCTGTTTATTCTCTTTCCAACAAACGCTGCTTGAACTCTGACCTCTGGTGTTCTCCCTCCCCCAAGCTCTGCTTGATTTTCAATCTGTTCTCTATTATTTCACTTCACATCCTTGTGCAGACTTTGCCAGAAAGGCAGCGAGCCCAGACCAACCAGCGACCGCGTTATCCTGAAGCTACCCTGTTGCTGTGAAAATCTACTCCTGGGGACCCAGCTGAGCCACTCCTGGCCCCGCGTAGGTGCTCCTCCCCCAACAGAGAAAAGCCCGGCCTTCAGAAGCGTGTCTCGTGTCCTGGGGTCACGGGCATATCCCTAAACCAGGCCGTGTGCATGCAGCCGAGCGTGCTGCGCCAGTTCCGCAGCAGGTGGGCAGCGCCTCCCCCGCCTGCCAGCCTTTCCAGGCCAGCCCTCCGCACAGCGCGCGGGGCTGTGCTGCTCCCCGAGGAGGGAGCCCCCAAGCTGAAGTTCTTGATTACGCGCGCATGTGCGCGTGTGAAGCCAGCCAAGTCGCTGGTACTTTCACACTGTGCCCATCGCTGTTTCTACTGGGTGAGGGCTCCCGCCGGGGGAAGTCCTTCCGCCCTGGACCTGCAGTGCAGCCTGTGCCGCTGCCCCTGGCTTCTGCTTGTTTAGTCCAGGCGGGGACACGTGGGCAGACACGGGTGACCACGGGGGACCTGTTAGGTGGGACGGGCGCCAGCAGGGCGTCAGGAGGAACTGAGTCTTTGGGGCAAACAGAGCGGTGCGCCTGCACGCGCGGCCCTCCCGGCCGGGGCCGTAGCGAGGTTTGGCCGCCGTGCAGCTGCGTCTGCGCCCTGCTCACTCCGGTGCGGCCAGGTCTCACTCCTCAGACCTGTGGGCAAAATCCTGAGCCCCACGAATTTGGATCGTAAACAAAAATTACATCTTTATTTTCACTAACTTCTAACTACAATGTAACATTTCCTTCCACTACGAATGTAGGCAAAAACCACAGTAGTATCAGCACTGCTTTTGTAACCTCACCAAGAGAAGAAATCTCGGCTGTTTTCCGATCGCCTTGAAGCAGTGCTCATGCGCATGGCCGTTTCGGAACCTAGGCCTCGCCAGCCGCGGCCAGGGCTCACTCACCGCGTTAAGAAAAAGCTCCCATTTTATGACATCACAAACATATTTTTTAGACCTTACGAATGATTTTCAGTACATGGATCTTAGTTTTTCTATTTATTTGATTTTTTTTAGAGGTGGGGTCTTCTTCTGTCTGTCAGCCTGGAGTACAGTGACACGATCACAGCTCACTGCAGCCTTCGAGCTCCTGGACTCAAGCCATCTTCCTGCCCCAGCCTCCCAAGTCACTGGGACTACAGACATGCATCACCATGTCTGGCTAATTTTCTTTTATTTTCTGTAGAGATGGGATCTCAGTATGTTGCCCAGGCTAGTCTCAAACTCCTGTCCTCAGGCAATCCCCTCAGCTCAGCCTCCCGAAGTGCTGGGATTACAGGTGTGAGCCACCACATCTGGCCTGGAATTTCTTTATAATCCCCCATGTTTTGTTTTGTTTTGTTTTGTTTTGTTTTGTTTTGTTTGGTGAAAGAATCTTTTTTTTTTTTCGGCATATTATGGGGCCCCATGTTTTGTTTTAAGCATCATTCTGAGAAGGAGTCCTGCAGAGGCCACTGCCAGAGCCTCCCCCACATCCCTGGTGCTCACTGTCCAGCTTCACCTTCCAAGAGGAGCGTGCGCCCTGCCAACCCCGGCAGCCCTCCCAGCGCGAGTTCAGAGGGCCAGAGTGCCTGGGAATTAAAGCGTCCACCTTGGGGGCTCCAGCCGAGGACCTGTGGGGATTGTTTAAGCTTCCCAGGTCCCTCACCTCTTGGGTGGGCTTCACACCTTTCCCAGAGCTTCTCCCCGGGGTTCAGCTCCATCCTCTCAACTGCCCCGCGCCTTCTCATCCCCACTCACTCTCCACCGCTGCCGGTGCTCCCTGGACCTCCTGGATAAACCGCCTGTTCTCGATTTTTATCCAGATCCACTTACAGGGAAATGCAGACCTGGTGTGTGGGCTGCAAAGGAGTTTATGGCCTCAGATAGGTCAAGGACCCAAGCTAGAAGTCCCCTTTCCCTGCTAGTTAGCCCAAAAGCCTCACCTTTCTCCAGGGGACTACAAGGGAGCATTTCTGGAACTGGGGTGGAGAGATTCTCAGAGATTCTTAAGTTCTCCATAAGAAATTTCAAGATTTATGTCATTTAAATGATAATCTTTGAGGAAAGTATATTATATATGTGTTTTAAGTAATTTTCATGACTCCTTATAACCTGGTGCTATTAAGAGGCTTTTGAGTCACGTTTGCATTTGGGTTTATGATTGAATTGCCACAAAGCAATATTCCTTGAACTATCACAAGAACAGAACAGAGACAGATATAATGTGCAATTGATGCATTCTGGCCAAGAAAAGACCAAGTGAAAAATCACAGCCAGGTTGGAAAAGTTCTAGCAGGAAAAAAATCCATAAACAGCTGAGTCGTCCCATGATCCATTGTAGGTCAGGCGTTCAGGCTCCAAATCAAGGCTGCAGCTGCCCGGCCACAGTCACCTCTGAAGCCATGACCCAGCTGGACCCAGCGCATCATCCAGCAAATCAGAATAGTGTTGCTAATTTAAAGTTTACTCTTTTCGTTTTGTTTCTATTTAATTTACACATGTTATTGGGTTTCATAAGAACTATAAGTATAAGGCATTCTACCAAATTGTTATATATTCGTTCCAGTTATTATTTCTAACAAATTGCCCAACACTTAGTGGCTTAGAACAATCGTTTTATTTTATACTTGGTCCTGAGGATCAGGCATTCAGGAAAGGCTCAGCTGGGCAGTTTTCAGGTGGGGGCTGAAGCTGTCTGAAGACTCCATTGAGCTGGAGTCCAAAGTGGCTCATGTGGCTGGCTATTGGCTAGGAGCTGAGCTGAGGCTGCAGAAACACCTACAGATCCTTGCCCAGCACAGCAGGCTCAGGACGGTCAGATTTAGACTATGGCCGCTGGTGTTCCCAGAGCAAGCAGCCTCAGAGACCAGAGTGGCAGCTACATGATCCTGCATCAGAGTGGACAGCACCATTTCCACCACAGTCTACTGGTCGAAGTAGTCACAAGTCTGCCTATATTCAAGAGAGGTGACATCGATTCCACCTCTTTATGGGGCAAATATCATGAATTTGAGGGGCATGTTTGTAATGCTACAATATTTAATAGTATAATAAAAATTTGAATCAACGTGGGAGCCCTTAAAGGGAATCCTTACATTACTCAAGTTTGGAGACCTGGACTGGGGACTACAGGCAGCAGACAGGAATCCTACAGTGTTCCAAAAGCTTGGCTCTCCTGACACAATCGAGCCGAAGACCGCTGAGTCTGTTGTCTAAGCCACCCAGTGTGCGGTGTCTTGTTCCAGCCACCTGAGCTGACTGACACCCCTTCCTGGGTTTTTCCAGGCACTTTGGAATTCCCTGCCCTCCCTCTCTCCCTAGTTTCTGTGGGTTTCCCACAACACTTCATTCCTACCTCAGTTGTTGAAATTACCATGTTATAACTTAATTGTTTACATGTGACTATGAATTCCTCCAGGTTGTACTCATATCTTGGTATGGAATAGTTTGTTAACAAATCCTTGTCTGGTTGAACCCAAAATAAAAAACCTAAAAACAAATACTGTATCCATCAGGATTGTCTGACAAATTTCATTATCAAATGTTTCTCTTTCTTGAAGCAGGCTCACCTTCATATCTAACGTGCATTTTATTATTATTGATCTTTCCCTCCCATGCCCAATTCATTTGACAGGTTGCTTCTGCAGGACGCCGCTGCTGGTGGTGGCCATCGGGAGAGCACGTACCCCCTAAGTCTGCGTGATATGAAGGTGGAAGCGTCTAGTTGGGTTCCCAAGGGCCAGCTGCAAATAGCAAGGGCTTCTGAGTTGTGTGACTTGTTAGTCTTAGCAATAAATGGCACGGCCGGTGCCTATACATGAAGTTATCTTTCTAGGTTTACAGCAATAGCAGCTTCTCTTCACACTCATGTCATCATCGCTAGTCACTTGAATGCACTGAATACAGACCCGGCAAAGCCATCTCTGCCTCTGCTCTTTCCCCTGCAGGTTCCCTCACGATCTCGCCCCTCTGCCAGCCCGCCCTGCCCTGAGGACGGTCCCCTTGCTGGTGGTTGTGCGCTTCCTGCTCACCGCTTGCCTGGACATGGTAGCTGTGCCCTTTGCTCCTCATTGCTGCTGCTTCCAGGTCATTCCCTTTCCCTTCTCTCCAAAACCTCCTGCTGAGGTCCACTGTTCTTGCCAGTGGACGCTGAAGCCCTCCGTCCCCTGGCTGTGCTGTCCCCAGGCTGTGGGTGTGCTCTCTCATTCCTGGCACCCACTCACGCTCTCCAGCACCACTCCTGGCCCTGTGCTCTGGTTCCTGTGTTCACATGGTGGCCTGGCCTCAGCTCCAACATCCTCTCCTCCGTCAGTCTTAGCCTCCGCCCAGACTGAGAGACTGAACAAACTCCCTCATGTCACCCACCACCCCACACCCTGACCTCACATCCTACCAGCCATTTGTTCTTGTTTTCACGTCCTCAGCTGCTCCCATCACACTTAGCAAGGAATTCTTCCCCAGCATGGTGTCCTCGGGTCACTCCCTGGCTGATTTGATTCCTGTGGGCTGCTGTAACACAATGCTATAGACTGGGTGGCTTATAAACAACAGAAATTTATTTCTCACAGTTCTAGAGACTGGAAATCCAAGATCAAAGTGCTGGCAGATTTGGTATCTGGTGAGAGCTTTTTCCTGGTTCATAGACTGCCCCTTCTTGCTGTGTCCTTACTTGGTGGAAGGGGCAAAGGAGCCCTCTGGGGTTTCCTTTATAAGGGCACTCATCCCATTTGTGAGGGCCCCACCCTCATGACCTCATCTAACCCTAACTACCTCCCTAAGGCCTCACTTCCTAATACCACCACCTAAGGGGGTAGGCTTTCAACATATGAATTTTTAGGGGGGCACAAACATTCAGTCCATAATATTCCACGCCTGCCCCTCCAATATATATCCTTCTCACATGCAAAACCCATTCATTCATTCCATGCCAATAGTTCTCAAAGTCCTAACTCATCCCGACACCAGCTGTAAACCCTAACGTCCAGAGTCTTATCTAAGCACCCTTTACATCAGGTATGGGCGAGGCTCAGGTACTTCTCATCCCGAGGCAAACTCCCTCCAGCTGTGAACTGTGACACCAGGTAGGTTAGTACTCCCAAAATACAGTGGCAGCACAGGCACAGGGCAGACACTCCCCTGAGCCACCGCCCCTGTCCCGTTTATCATCCTCCCCAGGCAAAACCCCCACCCCAGCTGACCCGCAGTCATCTCACCTGGCCCTGGATGGGAAACACTGGCCTGGCAGGCTGGGCTCATGAAGATCTCCACCAGGACGCCCAGCGGCCCCAGTTCTGCCTGTCATCCTGTCTCCTCATTTCTGCTCTATGGCCTTGCTTTCTAGTCACTGCGCAAACAGAAGCATCAGGAGAGAATTCCGGGTTTGCCCTCCCTGCACAGACGTCCCTCTGCCTCTCTGCCCACCTGCTGCCTCCCCCAGGTACTCTTCTGGAAACTTCTGAGCTGACTCCCCCATACATGCCTGGGTCTGAGCCTCTCAGCCCATTCAGCACTTCCTGCCTGAAGTCCTCCCCTCTCCTCTGCATCATCCATTTTCCCCTCATCTTGTCTCCCATATCACAAATACCCCTCAGCTGCTGCCCAGTATATTTGCTCCTTGTTACGTAAAAATGCCATGAAATAATGTCCCCTCTGGGTTTTCTCTCCTTAACTCTCTCCCATCAGGTGTGACCCTCACCCCGACCCCCACCCCACCGCGGGCCCTTCTCCCAGTGACCTGTCACCTCCACATCGCTGAAGCCAGTGACAGCCAGCCCAAAGCCCTGGTCCTTGACTCATCAGGGCACTGGGCAGTTGAGACCCTCCTCTGCTGGAGACACTTTCCTCATGGGGCCTCCGAACCCCTCCTCTTCACCCAGAGTCCTGGGGCCCAGCACCCATGGAATATTCT